ATAGCTGAAAGAATGCTAATACACCCTTCTCACTAGAAACAAAGACGTTTCCCAGGAAAGAAAACCAATAAACCGAAAGATTTAGAGCCCCCATGACCAATCAATAAAAATACACCATCTTTTGTTAGCACGTACTTTTCTTAAAGAGATAAACACGCATTTCAGCAATCAAATTATTGCGACAAGGCAATGTTTCTGAAGAAAAATCTGTAATTTATGCACAAATGTCTTCTAACGAAGCTGTATTTCCTCGAATTGAGAAGATTTAAACGAGGGTATAGAAGATTCACTCTCGTCTTGATTATAGAAAAAGTCATCAACATCTGTAAGAAACCTCAAAAAGCCATTTGGATAGTCTCCATATATTTCTCCTTCAATCTCCTTCATAACTCCTGCTAATTCTATGTTGTTCTTGGGTGTACCGCAGCAAGTGCTTAACGATTTTGATTGAACATTACTCTCCTTCTTTATACTTCCCTTAAGTTGATGCTTCTCCTTCTTTGTAGTACCTTTAACTTCTGCAGCAGGTTTACCTGTAAGTTTTTGTACAAGCTCCCGAAAATTTTCGGCATCGGTTTTTATGATTTCTGGTTCAACAATATGAATTATACGAATCTTCGGCTTCAACTTGGTTATTTTGTGGGAGTCCTTGTACATAGACAACATAGATGGAGTTAAGAAGGTGTCAAATGAAGGTGGCTTCATTTTTTAGTCTTGTGGCAACAGATAGAACGAGAGAATCTATGTAATTTGGTGTTAAACTGCAGAAGCTGAAGGTTGATATATATGGTGGAAATTGAAAAAACAAAATGGAGTTTGCCCTTTGGAAGCCAAGATTAGATGTATCCTTGCCTGTACTTTGTATTATTGTCTTAATTTTTTATTTTTTCCAATTTCAGAATATTTTATCAAGTTTGAAACCTAGATTTTGCATAATAAAATCTGTCGTGACAACGATGTACACACACGTTTACTTGTTGAGGTCGATAAACTAATTAGTCAACACTTGCCAATATATTTAGTCACAAAAACTAACATTTAATTCAACAATTTTGTTCATACCAATGAGAATAAGTTAAATTTTCGATTGGAAAAGTTGCATGTTAGGGTTCAAGGCGAGAAAATTATTTAGAATCGTGCTATTTGTACAATCTCGATTGACAACCACTCACACATGAGATAGGTGGGTGGGTAATTTTTTTATTTTTTAAACACGGTGGAATCCACTAATGTGAGAGGTTGTCAACCTTTGTTATACAAGTGGTGTTTCCCAATTATTTTTTTGTCCCTGACTCCGCCCTTGGTAGGGTTTGTTTCTGCACAAGATTTCCATATGGAAATTAATTGTTATTATTTTTTTTTTCAAAATAAGCCCATGGTCGACAAAATTGTTTTGAAAATAATCAGTTTTTGAATAGTAAATTTTGGAAGAATGTGTAGTTACAAAATAAGAAAAAAATTTGGATTTACGAGAAGAATATTTTATTGTAAAAAATGTATAATTGAAAATGAGAATGAAAAAGAACGATTGTCAAACAAAGGGCTAGGTACTTCATATTCAACTAGCTTGCTAGGGCATTATTTTTATAAATATACCAAGTTGGTGCGCATGGATTTGATTATTTTGACTTTACTTGAACCTTCTCAGAAAGGGACAAAAAGATAAGAATATTGTTAGTGGTACATAATTTTTTGCCATAATGTTTCACATAACACTCACATGGGGGGCCACACCTCATGTGAGTGTTATGTGAACCCCCATAGATAAAAATTATGTACCTATAGCATTACTCAAGAGATAATGAAGTCTCTTTGTCCCTTTCATGAAAGTCAAGTCGTATAAAGAATAGGCTACTTGTGATAATGGTGGTCATTTGGCTAACGTTTTCCAGCTTTGGCCAAACAAGTTGCCCATACTTAAATAGTTTTAGCTTTATTATTGATAATCTTAATCAATTTTGAATTTAAAAATTCAAGTTTGTGATAAAAAAAATTCTTATTTGCGTGTTTTTTTATACATCGTAATTTGTAGAAAAATATGTTGCACAAAAAGACGAAAATCCGGACTTGTCTCTATTATGGATTAGGTTTAAGGATTTCTTTACATAGAAATTGATGAATAACAAATTTGAGTTATCAGACATATATTTGTTCCTTTCTTCCTTACATAAGCACATTTATGGATGGATCCAGGAATGAAAAGTTGCGTGACTGCATGTTTGGGTAAATAAGCTTGCTTATGTCTCAATATAAGTTCTATATAATTTAAAAGTCAAGCTTTAATTTTATCACACATTTCATAAGATTCATAACGACTACTCTTTTTTAGTAACGACTACTTACTTATTCACTACTCATTTGTATCAAATTATAATTTCAACAAATTATAATGAAACCCAATGAGCACTAAGTTAATACTTAGTACTTTTCTTTAAAAAAGAAAAAAAAAAATGTTGAAGTTAAGCCCCGTTTGATACCTCTTTTTGTCCCCCATGATACATTTTCACATCAAATCAAGTGGACAGCCTACATGTGACCCATTTTCATTTCATTTTTCAATTCTTACCAATTTACATTTTTTTCCTTTTATCCTCGTTTGTTGATTGTCCATTTATGATGACAGAAATTACAGACTTTGAAATGTCAAAGGGCAAATGTGAAAAAAGAAAATTGCATAGTCTAATATGTGGAACAACAGAAGGCAATGAATAGTCAGAAAAGCAGTTGGCCATCGGTCATATTTTTAATACTAATGCAAAAATAAAAGGTGGTCCAAACTGGTGCTTAATATATTTTTTAGCATGTGTATAATATATGCAAATAAAATAAGGGGCATTTTTAAAAATGTCAACAATTTTGGGAGTCAATTGAAAAATGTCCATAATTTT